TCAATCCCTGGTTCCGCAAAAAAAAAGAATTTAAGTGGGGGCTGGGGAGATGGCTCAGTAGAATAAGTGCTTCTCTGGCAAGCGCAAGGGCCTGAGTTCAATCCCTGGTTCTGGGGAAAAAAAAAGATCATCTTATTATAAATTAGCTGTAGATAATCACACCTGATGAAAATGTGTATCTGATGCGTAGGAAACTTGACGGTTTCCTTTTTTATCATGTAGATGAGTATATCTGTATACATTTACAAAAATAAGAGTGGGTTTTTTCCCCCTTTAACTTGAATATTCCTCCTGTATAGTGCATGAATGAGAGATTTCCCTTGTTTCCATCAGAGTAATATACCTGCTTTAATTAAGCATAAGTGGACATGATATAAAAATATATACTGACTTACTTGTGAAGAATGTATTTAAAGCTATTTTAAATGTGTTTTTATTTGTAAGACATTACTTATTAAGAATCTGGTTATATTATGTTTATTGTTCCAATCTGGTAGGAAACAGTATTCTTAAGACTTTGCAAGTAACTTAGATTTTCAAAACTAAATGAGAGAGAAAATTATTGCTCCTTTAGTGCAATAAAATAAAACTCTGAAATTTAAAAAAAAAAAAAAAAGGATTCACCCAAGGCTGAGTGAGGCTTGAATTAAAGAAGTGTGATTGAGTGGGGTGTGGAGGCCCGCACCTGTGACCCCAGCACTCTGGAAGGCTAAGGCAGGAAGATTGAAAGGTGGAGTGCAGCCTGGGCAAGTTTGTGAGTACCCTATCACAAAATGAAAAATAAAGACAAGCTAGGGGATGTTGCTCAGTTTGAAGGCCCTGGGTTCAGTTCCCAGGACTAGAAAGAAACAGTAGTGAACAAGATTGCACACTGGCAAGGCTGTTCGAGCTGGACATCTTGGAAGGGTAAGAAGGGAGTGTCCTGGGGTCATGGAGGCAGTGATAAAGAATGGTGGGCTAAGAGAGAAGCAATGCAAAGAGAGAGAGGAAAACAGACTCAAGGGGAATTAAGAGGAGGGATCTGCTAGGAGTTGGGGTCTAACTGGGTGTCAGGGAAAGAAGAACCATAGTGCTCTGTGTCAGGTCACACGACTGGCTTGTGCCAGGGCGAGGCAATCTTTGTCCCATCCCGACTTTGGGGGACCCCAGGCCTCTCACTATGGACTCAGTGTGATGTCCGCCAGAGGCCTGGACAGAGGTGTTTGACAGTAACTTCTATTTGGAACCCATGAGTATGAGGATTGGGTGGCACATCCAGGTGACAAGTGCAGCGGAGGACTGTGGCTCCTATGAGAGTCTGGACCTGTGGACCTGAGAGGTGTGGAACCCTGAGTGTGCGTGGGATGGTCTGGAAGGGAAGGAGGGAGGCAGACCCTAACCTGGGTGCTGTGGGTGGGCATCTGCGTTCATGTGCCTTTTGAGTGTATATGAGACGCAACAGTGTGGCTGTGCGTTAGGGCCCAGAGGGGTGCGCAGGCCTCCGAAGCAATGAAAAGCTTTAGATGTAAACACGGGTACAGAAGGAAGATTCAGGGAAGACTAAAAGGGAGCCATTAGAGAGGTGATAAGAAGTGTGAGAGGGGCTGAGGAGATGACTCAGTAGAACAAGTGCTTGTCTGGCTAGTGCAAGGGCCTGAGTTAAATCCCCAGTTCCACCAAAAAAAAAAAAAAAAAAAGAAGTGTGAAGGATTTCCAGGCCTGGTAGTGCACGCCTGTAATCCTAGAACTCAGGAGGCTGAGGCAGGAGGATTGCCATGAGTATGAGGCCATCCCAGGCTACATAGTGAGTTTAAGGCTGATCTGAACTGTATCAGCGTGCCAAGAAAATAGTCTTCAAGAAAGAAAGTGTAGCCAAGGAGACAGCTCAGTGGCATAAGTGCCTGTGTGGTGTGGCAAGCCCAAGGTCCTAAGTTCCATCCTAGTTACAAAAAAAAAAGAATGAAAGTGCGGTTGATGGTGTCCAACATTCCCAGTGAGAAAGGGAAGGGAAGGCTTGCACAGTCTGCAAGATCTAGCTGTGAGTTGGTGGTTGGTGGTTCCGTGCTTGCCAACCCGCATGGCAGGGTCAGTAGGGAGGAGAGAATTGGGAATGTGTGTGGGGTCTGTTTTGGGGTTCTTGGGGGTGGAGGCAAGGCACGCTTACATGCAGAGAGGTGGTGAGTGAGGGACACAGGCCAAAGGTGACACTCCCCTTTACCTTTCTTCTTTCCAAGGAAGAGGTGATACAGGTGGACATAAAAGGGAAATCAGCCTGTGAAGGGCTCCTCGAGGAGGAGGAGACCCCTGGATGGCACACGCTCCAGGGAGCGGGTTTCTGAGCACAGGTGGGAGGCCTGGTGCTGGGCACAGGGAGTGCCGCCTCTGCCTCCCACGCAGCAAGGGAGGGAGTGGATATACACAGGGGGTGGAGGGCGTTGTTAAGGATGGCCGGGGTGACAGCTGGGCCCCTTTGGGCATCAAGCGTTTATGGTTCTGGTAACTGGCGGAGGGAAGGAGTGAGGGTGTCATCTGTGTCTCCACCTTGTTCTTTTGGCCTCTCTCACCAGTGAGGGAACTACCTTTTGTACCCTGGAGCCCTGGCTATTTTTTCCTTAGCCTGGGATACCTCCTCCAGGGAGCCTTCCCTGACTGATACCCCACTTTATCTTCTTCCCAGCAGCTGATTGAGTTCTTCATTTCTTCTTTAGGAGTTTTCCTGCTCTAGTGCCAGTCTCTGGTCTCCTTGGAGAAGGCCCACGGACGGGGTTGGAAGAGGATGAAAATTCGAGTTGACTGTAAGATGGGCTGGCTTCTCCCTCAGGACCAGCCCTCCCCAGCCCTCAGGTCTTGCTCTGCCCACCAGGGGGTGCTGGGTCAGAGCAGGCCCAGCTGGCATGGTCTTCAGGTGGCTGGCTGGGATACTCAAGCTCCACCCCTGTCCGGACCTTTGCTCCCAGCCTAATAGCACTGGCCTTGTCACCATGACAACCTCTTAGTTTGGAATAAACAGAGCTCTTTTGCCTCCTGCCCAGTTTATTGACACCCAAGTGTCTCCCCAGGGATGGGCTGGAATTTCAAATGTTCTGGGGCCCCCAGGGGAGGCCCAAGGATGACGTGTCACTGGATTTTGGCTCCTTTCCACCCCTCACTGTCCTTTGCCTTGCCTTGCCCCTCCCTCCTGCCACCCTGTGTCCTGCTGGAGCTGGGAGGGAGGAGAAAATCTGGGACTCACCAGAGGGTGTGAAGTGAAGCGAGGGGAGCCCGCTTCTAGGCCATTTCCAAAACCTAGCTGTAATCCCTGGGATTCAAGAGACTGTCACAGATGGCTTCTTCCCTATCATCTGTATCCTTGGGGGTCCAGGAGGAGGGAGTGGAGAGGATGGGGAGCAAGGATCTGTGGGACAGCAGATAGGGATCGGAGTGGAGCATGCACTTGGACAGGACACATGGTAGGATACTGCACGTTCATTCACTCAGTGAATCAAGGAAGTTCCCAGCGGTGTGTGTGGGAAATCAGAACTGCTATAAATCTTTGCCTTGCCTTGGAGGAGGGTGCCTTAGAGCTGGTGTGAGAGCTTTGATTCTGCTTTGAGGCCTGAAGGTGCTACTTTTTTTTAGATTCTTCCTTTTTTTTGCGGAACTGGGGATTGAACTCAGGCCCTTGCGCTTGCCAGGGAAGCACTTATTCCACTGAACCATCTCCCCAGTCCCCCAGATTCTTCCTTTATAAATAAAATAATAATGAAGTCCTGTGTTCAGTTCCTAGTACCTCCCCAAAAGAATGTCCCACTAATTGTCTACATCTGAGGGCCGGGGAGATGGCTCAGTGGAGTAAGCATTTCCCTGGCAAGCGCAAGCGCCTGAGTTCAATCCCCGGTTCCAAACAAACAAGCAAACAAAATAGTCTACATCTGAATGCCATTTATCCTAGCACTCAGGAGACTGAGGCAGGAAGATCACTGTGAGTTCGAGGCCAGCCTGAGCTACATAGTAAACTCAAGGCCAGCCTGAATCATATGGTGAGACCCTGTCCCAACCAAAACCAACCCAAGCTAAACCAAACCAAACCGAACCAAAACCACAAGAAAAACAGACTGCATGCATTGGTTTTACAGCCTGAAGGGGAGCTCAAAGCTTCCCACAGGCAAGTATAACCCAGCCTAGCCGTGTGAAAAAGATCCATCCTTGGGGTCTCCCTGGGAACAGCCACTTCTGGCATAAATGATTGGGGCAGGCTTCATGGGGGAGGTGTGGTATGGATTTTCATTCAGTAAATGTTTGCAGAATGAATGAGGTGAGCTGGAGCCAGAGCTTGCAGGAAGGGTAAGGTGTCAGCAGGTGCGGTGACAGGGAGTGGCCATGGGAGGAGGGGCACAGCCTGGCCTGGCTTGGGGAAGGCAGCCAGTGCCAGGAGGGGAGACACAGCCTCTGTGACAATGAGAATTGGATCATTATTCAGAAAGCTGTGGGAAGCTTAGAGTTGAGGAGCCATGGGGTCAAAGCAGCGTTTGGTGCACGCATTTTGGGGAGGCAGAGGGGACGGGACTTTCCTACATTGAGCAGGAGACTGAGTACGTGTCCTTGAGGCACAAGGCAGGAGGTGACGTCATTCCCACCCCCTGCAGAGGGCCTGCCTCACTCCAGCACGTCTCCAGGGCAGATCTCACCTGCCTGCTAGGAGCAGGGCGACTGGCAGGGGTGTGGGGCATTTCTCAGTGACACAGAGAACAAGGGAACAGTGCCTCCTTTCTCTTCTTCCTCCCCACAGGGCCTGGCTTGGAGCAATGGGGGGGGGGAGGGAGGGAGGGAGGGAGGGAGAGAGAGAGAGAGAGAGAGAGAGAGAGAGAGAGAGAGAGACTGTTAAACCTAGAGCTCAGTCAAGAAGGGATAACTGAGGTAGCATTTTGCCCAGATCCTGCACCCAACTTTGCTGGAAAGGAATATTTCTAGCTTGGAGCTGGCTGGTAGGAACTAGAGCCAAACTCCCCCCTGAGCCTTTGTGAGGATCAATCATCTTCATCTACCTCTTTACCTCCACTTCTGCCAAAGACATCCCTTTGCACCCAGCTTATCTGTGGAGCGGCCACACACATCGGTCCGGAGAGGTTCAGAGGTGCTGCCAAGCCCACAGTGACCAGTAACCCAACCCTCAGCGCTGTGACTCAGAGCTCCTGAGAGCAGGAGGGAGATAGCTATCTGGGCTTTCTGAAGTGAGGGGGTGGCAGCTCAGCCTCGTGGCCCTGACCAGCGCATTCTCTGAAGGGTGTGCACACATACCATCCAGCAGCATTGCTCCCAGGCTCGCCTGGCTTACTCAGGCTTTCTTAGGAATTCAAGCTCTCCTTTTCACCTCCTCCTCCTCCTCCTCCTCCTCCAAGGTTTTCTTTCCATCATCTGGCTTTGCCTGGAGGCCTGCTGCCTCAGCTTTATCTGTTCTTGGCTTCTGAGTAAGCCCGGCCTGGCTTCCCTCCCTTCCTGGTACACATTTCTGCTTCCAGTACTCCTGGGGTAGTAAGTTCTTCTTGTAGTCTAGCCTTTTGCTCCTGATGGGTGCTAAGTGAAAGAGATGTTGCTGTGGTGGTGGCTGTTACTGCAGCAGGTGGGAATGCCCCACCCCCACCCCAGGAACCTTGTTAGCCCAGTGGAGGGCAACAATGGCAGAAGTAAGAATTCGAAGTATGAAAGAATATCCTTTTTTTTTTTTTTTTCTTCTCTTTGAATTTCTTAGGGAAGGGTCTAGAGGGTATTCAGGGTCTCACTACTAGATTGGACTCATAGTGATCCACCTGTTTACAGCCTCCCAAAAGCTGGGATTACAGGCGTGCACTACCATGCCCAGTCTCAAGACAGAATATCTTCTTATCATGGAATTTGCTTTATTTATGAGAGAATGTAAAGTGAAAACCCAAATTTCTTTCATGTATGTTTTAAAAATTTTAAAGGTACATGTTTGCAGTATATATTTTTTATTTTTTACATTTTGCAGTACCAGGGATTGAACTCGGGGCCTTGCACCTGCCAGACTGATGTTTATGCCGCTGAACTATCTCCCCAGCCCTATGTTTGTGATACACAATGATTACATTCATGGTGGGGAATTGATACTTGTATATAATGCATCAATAATTTCAAACAGGACCAGGGAGATAGCTCAGTAGAATAAGTGCTTGCCTGGCAAGCGCAAGGGTCTGTGTTCAATCCCCGTTCCAGAAAAAAAAAAATTCAAACATAATACTAATGAATAATTTTAGAAACAAATGGTCCCACCCTCCACGATGCTGCAGATTGTAACGTAGAGAAGGGGCTTGTCTCTTGTCACCCAGCAGATAAGAGAGTGAAAAGCAGGTTGTTTCAATTTCAAATGTGTTTTTCTGTTACTCTATGTTGTTCCAGGAATCAAGACAATTCTCAATACATAAATTTGTCTTAATTTTGTTTAATTTGGATCATAATCTTGGAACATTTTGATTTTAATCACAAATCCTAGAGCATCTAGAAGGTACTGGGAGGAATTTGCAAAGTGAAAGAGCTCGAGGGGGTTTCAGCTCCCCCGAGGAGGGAGGGGGTGTGCCGAAAGCCCCATCACCTGTCCTGGGGCTGCTGGGCCTCTCAGATGAGCCAGCCCCCCTCTGTAAATAACCTCCTTCGGAGGTGCTGGCTGACCAGTCAAAGCCTGTATGCTGGGCCGGAGAGTCTGCATTCCTATCCCCTGACTCAGTGGCTCAGCTAGGTCTCTGGCTAGACCCAGGGCAGTGGGACACTCCAAGTGTTGCAGCCAGAGGAGCTGTGTTGAATTCAGACCCTGGAATTTACGCTCTCTGTGACCTTAGGAAATGTATAGAGTTTCCGAGCTTGTCTCCTCATATAAAATGAGGCTATTTGTACTTTCCTGTAGTTATAATTGTGATGGTTTGATGGTGTTATAAAAAGCTGATAGTGCAGGGAGTGCCTGGCTTATGGTGTTATCTTCGAAGGGCAGGGTGAGGGGGAGGTGTAAGACAGAGTGGGGAGACATGCTGTGGGGGAAGGGTCCAGCTCTGTGCTCCTTTGCTACATCTCTAGCATGAGCTGTCTTTTGACCATCAGGCTGTTTCCCCAGCTCTAAAATGCAGATAGGGGCTGGAGGCCTGGCTCAGTGGTAGAGCAATTGTTCAGCAAGTGTGAGGCCCTGGGTTTGATCCCCAGTACAACAAAAATATAAGATAAATTTCCTAAAATGCAGGTAACACTCATTTCAGTTTCTGGGAGGATTAAAAGTCGTAGTTACCACCTTAAGCCAACTTCCAGGCTACTCTAATTCCTTGCTCTGGGAGACCTTGGCAGAGAAGGGAAGCTCAATAGAAGGTCCCAGCCTAGAGAGCTGGAGGGAGAAGGCAGAGAAGGAAGTGTGCGGGTGGGGTGGGGGGGGGGCTGAGCCTGGCTGGCTGGCAAGAGAGAAAGAGGAGGTGGAGCAGGGCCTTTGGACTGTGACCTAGGTCGGGTGGAGAAAGTTTGTGGTGCAGCTGGCACCCAAGTGCCAGAGGGTCAGGGCATGGGGAGGAGGGCAGGAAGTGGAGGTGACTGTTCCTGAATGTGGGAGCCTCGAGTGTCACAGGCCTGTGGGTGTAGGAAGCCCAGGGCCCTGACTCATTCCTTAGCAAGGAGCGCTGGTCTGGGGCCACAGCCCTTCTGTATAGGACTTTCCTTCCCCTGCCTCTCCGGTTCAGGAAGTTAATTCTGCTGCTACAGAGTCTCCGAGTGCTCACTGGACAGTCACCGGGGAAACATGGGGAAGCTGGGAGGCAGAGGGCTGTGCGGTGTGGCCTTGGGGAGTGGATGGCCTCAGCCTGAAGTTCCACAGGGAATGCTGCAACGCTGCCACCGCCACAGCGTTGCCATGGGAGCGCCTAACACTGCCCTGGGGCCAAACTGGCCTGGACTGGCCCAGGCCCAGCCCAATCCTACCGTCCAGGTCGACAGCTTTTCCTAAGACCTATGAATTGGTCATTGTGCCTGTGTTTGGGGTTATCTTAGCCCTTGGAGATGAGGGAATCCAGCATGGAGGTTGTTTAATGAGTGGCCAGGATCAGGCCTTTCTGTAGCTGAGCTGTGCTCTCTGCCTGTTTTTTCTTTTGTGGTGCTGGGAATCAGACCCAGAGCCCTGTGCATGCTGGGCAAGTCCTTTAGCACTGGGCCACCCCAGCCCTATCTCATTTTCTCCCTTATAAACATACATGGGCGCCACAATGGAGCAGGCCGAGTCAGCCATTGTGAATTTGTTCACCACATGTCCGTGGAATGCAGCAACACGCTTTCCTAATGCTGTGCTGAAGCAGCCAACAAGAAAGGCAAGCTGGGCACGGGGGCTCGAGCCTAGAATCCCAGCACTGCAGAGGCTGAAGCAGGAGGATCACCTGAGTTCCAGGACAGCCTGGGCTGCTCAGTGAGTATAAGGCCAGCCAGAGCTACATAAAGAGAGCTTGTTTCAAAACAACAACAATGAAACAAACAAAGTACCCCTAAGAAAGTTAGTCCTTGGCCTCAGGGAGCTTTCTGTTATATGGCCAGAGGTCTCCTAAATCTGCT